AGTCACTTCAAATGTTGTAATTACATATATTTCCTGCTTTAATAAAATGTTGGTGAAAGGTTTAGTTCCTATGGTCCTTTATAGCTCTGGAAGAACTGTCAAGGTGGAAAGAGGAAAGTCACTTTCCAGTCAGTTCAAAGGAAATGGAGAATGCGCATTTCCACTTGAGGAATCCACTCTGTATCAGGCTATACAGACATTTCCATGTAAGTTTTCCAGTGCAGCATCTGGGCACAATATTTTCATCTTATTGCCTTTTTTCCCTGAAGATATTAATAGTTTATAAACCTCAGAAAAAAAAAAAATGGGCACAGGGTGAGAAGAAGTTTGAGCAAAAATGTATGATTATGCAGTTAATCACATTCTCCTCAGAGCTGCTGCTGGTGGTGTGATGCGGGGGGAGGTAGCAGGATTTATGATTTTTCACTTGCTTCCAAATCTGAACACACACACACACACACACACACACACACATGTACCCCATCTTTCTAATTTTGGTGCTTATCTAACAAATTCAATTACTTTGCTTCATTTCTTAAGAAAGCAAGTTCCATTAAAAGCATTTATGCTGAAATTCTAAAGATTGCATTATACTTTCAAGAGTAAAGAACAAGATTTAGCTTGAACTTTTGAAAATGAGTGGCTCCTTAGTCTGAGACAGTTTTCCCATGTCTAACAAGGACTAGTTTACTAACACTGCCTTGAAAAACATTATTAGTGGCTTGGAAGAGAAAGAAAAATAATTTATTTCTCCTCTTTACTGCCCAAATATCGCTCGAGTCTTCTCACCACACAAGATGTACACACTTAGCATTTTCAATTACTTCATATGGATGATGCAGTTCAGTAACTAAAACATTAAGACACTTGGCAGACACAATAAAATGATTCTGGGAAATAGATGTGGGGGGCAATGTTTCTAAACTTCTTCACATCACACAAATTTCTAATAAGAGGGCTCCTAACAACAGCATTCAGGAACCTTTAACCACAAATACAGGATAACTGGGAAGCTATTTATAACACACCTACATCTGGCAAGCTAGACAAGACTGGAATGTTTCTGAATATAGTGACACTCCTTTTCAGATGTGACTTCGAGGGGGACTGCTACCTTCATAGGCTTGAAAGAGGGATTAGAGCTCATATAATTAATAAAACATACACCATCATACAATAGAAAAGCCACAAAAGGCTTAAAGGAGGAGGAAAGTAGGGAAATGTTATCCCATCTTCATTCCACGCTTCTGGAATGTGGGCAGATCATAGTAAAAGTTTAAGTGGCAAGAAGATTAAAGGAAAACTGCTAAAGCCAAAAAGGACACTCACATCATCTGGTGCAAGTCAGCCGTGTCTCTACAGACCTCAGTGGAGTTACACTGATTTACGCCAGTCAATGTTTTGGACCGACGGCTTCACAGAAGATACTATCGATTAAATGTGTGTTCTGTTTTGATTAAAAGCTGCTCTTGCCGTCAGAGCACATCTTGCCCCAGCTGGAAGCCACTCTGGCATTTTTCTTTTTGCTAGAAAGCACCCTATAGGCAAATTCCGTAATAAAAAAATAAATGTCTACATAAATTATCAACTACTGTTTGTTATTATTTATCATTTTCTGGCACATACAGGCATGCCAGCCACTTTTTCTGAAAATACGCCGAAGACAATTCCCTGCCCTGAGGATCTTAGAACACAGGGGCCAGTCAGCTCTGCAAACACAGGGCACTGCTTTATGGCAAATTATTCCAACTACTTCAGATCCTCGCAGTAATAAGGCCTGTAATAATTCCTTACGCATGTTAGCGATTTCAGGTCTTAAAGCGATGAACGCGGCAAACAAGGGGAGATAAAACACAAAGATATATGTTAGGGAGAAAAGGCCCTGCACTCATTTGGTGGAGACGCACCTATAATTGTAAATCTTCCTGAACCTGAACACTTTCTCTGTAGGCTGACTGCACCCAGTTCTCACATAAAGAAGCAAATCTTGAAGGCCTTATCTTCCAAAATGTCATTATGCAAGTGCTTGATGTTAAGCATGTGGCTTCTAATGCGATACATTGCTAATAAAGAGATCCCTAACATTGGTTTTAATAAGAAAAGAGGAATCAGGAACGGTGACAACAATTCTTGAATAGCAACACCCATATGGTTTCAAGCTTAGCCACCCATCCCTGCACTGAGCAGTGCAACTGCAAACACTGACAAGCCTTCCGCCCAGCCTTCAAAGCAAAAAGAAAAGTGGAACATGAGGCCAACTGTGAAACTGAAAGAGCTATCAGGTTTGAGGAGGGCTGGAGGGAGAAAACTCATAAATTACAAGGCGTAACAATGCATAAAAAAACACTTCTAACTTTGCATCCTGAATATTGGAAAGCCACAATCATGATTTCAGAGCATCCGAAAAGAAGGAGTAACCTATCAACTACCAGCAAGTGTTTCTAGAAGTACTGTGCCTTCACATTAGCAGGTATCTTTCTAAGTGTTATTCGGACCTCACAAATATGTAATTTTAATGGACAGGGCAGACCCACATTGTGAAGCAATGTCTCGAATCAACATATCAATATATAGTGAATTATATGTAAAGGCAGACTTCCTTCTTTGCCCTGTTCTCTGCACCATAGCAGTCTCACGATACAATTTCAGTCATGTCTCAGGTTGTGTCTTTCACTTTTACAAAAGCTAACGCTTAGACAACTTTTTGGCTATAATGTTATTGTCCACCCACAGAGATAACAAAAAAATCTGTCAGACAAGAAGTTTTTACAAGAAGTATTCATTTGTACAAAGCTTTTTGGAAAATAATTGACAACTTTTATTATTTAACTATTGTTACTTTTAACATAGGCAGAATCTAGCTAGTTTTCAATAGTCTCAAATAAATGAATTCTGTAAACAAAGCAACAAGAAAACAAATTTGTGACAAGAGATAATCTGCATTCATTGTATTAATTTTCAAAAATACAATCTTGGATGTTAGGAAGAGTATTTCCAAACTTATCAGTTAAGCACACAGCACTGTATTTCAGTCATAGACACAAGACATGAAACATTTATTATCAAGTGCCTTAGCGAGCTCCTAACAGCTGCTAAGAACATGAATGTTCCTACGGTTTTTGACAAGATTTAGCAGGTTTGGAAATCACAAAGATGAGATCTAGCAAAGGTATTTTTAGGATCAAATCTCTCAAAAAATAAAAATCATAATCTAAGCAATCATACATGCAATTTGCAGTTAAACTGTCAATTGTGCTACTTTGCCTCTTCTGTAGTCTCACGTTACATTGTAATCTTTTAATTCTGCAGTGGAAAAAGTCACTATGAGCTTTAGAGGTACTCAAAAAACTTTAAACCTCCCACCATGAAACAGCTTGCTGTTTGTAAGTGTGGATACTCCTGAAATTATATTAGCTGCTTTTTAAAGGTTACCCATTTCAAATCGAAATTGACGGAGCAGTCAATTTCACTTCCATCCAAAATACTTTACGGGAATTACTGACTGTTTTAACGTGCTGGACATATTACACTGACTTACCTATTTCATGCAAAATTAATTCCTCTTTTGAAGTGTTTGATAAGTATTCATTTGAAGGATGCAGTGCCCCACATAAATTTATTACTACTGAAAGGCTTAATAAAATCACACTGCTAGAAGTAGAAGTCATAGGAATACTGTAACACTGGAGATACTTTAAGGTAATCTAATCAGCTTTTATTTGCCTGAAAGAAATTCAGAGGAGAGGTATATTTTGCAATTCTTCTAGTTCAACTCAAACCAGTATTTAATATTTACCCGTCAAAGCAAAACAGAATTCATCTGAACGGGAGGACTAAGACTTGAGTTAATTTGTCATCCGTGATTATCACTTGGAAGTTCGCTGACTTTATTAAAGACAACTACTGTGTGATAAGGACAGCAGAGACACTATTAACCATGTCATTTAAATTGCTTTAGTTGGCATCGTGCCCAAGTCCTTCAGATCAGTATATCAACACACTTGTTGCTGGCAGGGACTCATTTAAGGGACGGGAGGGGGGGAGGGAAGGGGAGGGGGAGGGAGGAACTCTCTCAGGACTGAGTATGCTGTACAGATTTCTACAGTAACTCATGAGAATAAGCAGTATCACTTTGTATTTTCGATGACTAAAGGAGAGAATGACAAAATAATGACAACCAAATGAAAGATGCTGCTCTTCTTAAGGAAGGAGAAAAAAAAAAAAAAAAAGCCTTTTACAATCGCTATTTGAAATTACCTGACTTTGTATTTACTGGAACAGCACTTTTTGCTTATAACTGCAACACACAAAGTTCCCTCCAACACTTGCTCTGCCAAATTCTGCGATCCCATATCTCCCTCACCCTTGCCTCCTCCCCAGGATCTCCTGCTTTCACTTCATTCAGCCTGTACAAGGGAGAAAAAACTCCGGTGGCTAGGCAGAGTTTATTTTCAGAAGCAGTTAAGAGTCCTTTCATTTCATTTCAGGCAAGAACCATGCCACAAAGTAACATGCAACACATTTAGGAATGCTGAAAGGAAGAAGGTATGGGGATTTTTCCTTCTGATCCACGTGGAAATTAATACTAACGTATTTGTTGAAAACAAATCTAGCTGTTAAGTTAGGCATATTACTTTCACATGCAGCAAATAGTTGCAACAAGAACTTTTTCACTGTGCTTTTCATCTCCTGTTTCCCTAAGCTTACTCTGTCCTGACTCACGAAAGAACGAGTATCCCTTTTTGGGACGGGAGGAATCCATCAGCTCTAACAAGCACCTCGGCGCGTACCAGCAGCCGACTTGCTTGCTGGAAGAGCTGTGCTCCCTGGTGCCCGCACTGCGGCCAGCACAGCTCCGTGTCCCCTTCACCACTTCTTGGGGACGCGGGCACAGGGAGTCTGCTGGCGCAACGGGCCTCCGCTGCACGGCCACCGGAGCGGTAGCCGCACAGTACGAGGCACCAGAGGATGCAATCGCTGGGGGAAAAGGCTTCTCTTACCTTCTGCAAACCGTCCTCTGGCGTCTTCAAGTGACTGATCTGGAGAGACAAAAACAAAACCCCAAATGTAACAGCACAGCTCGCAGCCAGCCCTGCTGCCTCGCCGCCCCCCCCGCGCCCTCCAGACCACTTTCCCACCGCCTGCACTGCGAACGGCAAACTTTCCCGTGGCATTCATTTTTTACTGGCGAGCCATAAAATCGCCCGCTTGTCCAATTAATGTGAGCATCATCGTTTTCATTTACCTTTCACCATCTCCAGGGAAGGGAAGCGGAGGGGGGGGGGGGGGAAGAGGAAAGCAAACGCATAAAAGAAGCTTCAGAAACACGAGTTTCAACTCATTTACAATCCCAGATAAAGGTTAATAGTTAAACTTCTTCCTCTCCCTCCCACCCTCACAATTATTGATGCCCTTCAAGAAATGAAATGTTTTTTTTGTTCTTGTTTACCAGAGGCTAGACAAACTGTCAACATCTCCACTTTATTTACGGGTTGAGCAAGAGCAGTTCCTCAAACATCAACATTTTTTACGTTAATCCTGGAGAGAATCCACTTCTCTAAAACTACGAAAATTTGCCAACTTCTGGAGTATTTATTTTTAACAAACGAGAGCGGGAGCCTCGAGCTACCTCCCCTGCTCTCGGAGGAGAGGAAGGGGGGATGCACGGCTCGGCTCTCCCCTTTTTAAACCCTTTTTTCCCCCCCTCCTTCCCGCACCCCTCAGCCCCTGCCCGCTCCGCATCCCACCCCCAGCCCCTCTCCCCCGCCGGTCCCCCACCTGCTCCGCGTCCACCGGGCTTTCAAGGGAGGGAACAAAATCTGCCAAGCGCTTCCTTTTATTATTATTATTACTATTCTTATTTTTTGTTTTTGTTTTTCTTCAACCCGTCTGGAGGTTTAAACCTGCAAAACAAACACCTCTGTTGAATGCAAACTAAGCTTTGGGGGGGGTGAGGAGGGGGGGGGGGGTTGTAGGGTTAATTCCTCGGCAGACGGCTACTCGCAGTGTCTGGTTACACAAACATACCTACGGACAGGTTGGAGAGGGGTCCCTGCGAAACCACAGCCGGGGAGTGGGGCGGGGGGGGGGGACACAAAACTCAGAGCAGGCACGAAGGTGGGATTTGGGGGAGGGCTCGGGGGGCAGGGTTAGGGGTGGGGGTGGGGGGCAGGAGGAGGGATGGGGAGAGGGGAGGTTTAATATTGGGATGGGACGGGGAGAGAGCGCAAGCAAGGCGAGGGGCACAGCCCCCGGGGGTGCCGCTGGGGCTGCGGGGAGGGGGGAGAAGGGAAAGGGGGAGGGGGGGGGCGTCCCTTCGGGTGGCGGCGATAACAAGTAGGGCCCAAAGAGCACAAAGGCGGGCAGGGCGAGCCTTCCTCGAGGGAGGAAGGAGGGCGGGGGGGGGCAAGGGGGGCAGGACCGGGCTGCGCTGGGGGCGGGCGGACGGGTTTGGGGGGGGGGGTCGCGGCCCCAGGGTAGCACCGGGGGCGCTCCGCCGCCCCCCCCCCCCCCTCCATGCCGCTTACCTGCCGCTGCCCGCATCGCGCCGGGCACAAAGGGGGGGCGGCGGCGGCGGCCCCCCGGGGAGCTCGGGGCTGACAGCGGTGCGAAGCGCTAATTGCGGAGCGCAAGGCAGCGACACCCCCCCCCCTACAACCCCACCACCACCACCACCCCCCCCTAAAGACCGTGCCGCAGAGCAGAGGCGGGGCTGCCGCCGGGGGCAGCGCTGCGGGGCCAGATCCTGCACGGCCCGGCCCGGCTCGGCTCGGCTCGGCTCGGCCCGGCCCGGCCCGGCCCGGCGCTTCCCGGCTGTCACATGGCGGCCGCCGCCGCCCCCGGAGGGTTTCGGGCCGCGCTGCGCTTTCGTTTTGGCCCCGCCGAGCCGGGGGTGGGGGGGGGCTGGCCGGGCAGCCCCCTTCCTGCCGCCCCTCCCGGACAGGGTGCTTGGAAGGGCTCCCCTCAGGCACCGTGGTGGGTCGGGGCGCAGGGTGCTGCCAGCCCCCCGCTGGCCCGCCGAGTACTACTATTATTAATAAATACTGCTAATAATAGGGTGGGGAAGGGCATGTGGTGCTGCACAGGCTGGGGGGGCTTTCTTTGACTTTTCCTGGGCCTGACCTTGGGGACAAACCCGTCCCCACAGATCCCCGTGAACACTGCAGGCAGTGTGGCTAACGGGGGTGATGGAAATCCTGCTGGGGATGCTTGTGGAGGGGCAGGCACTGAACACCACGACCCTGGGTGCTGCCTCCCTGCTCCGTTTTGCAAGAGCAGTTAGATCAGGAAAGGGAGTTAGGATTTTGCCTCACGCCCCTCTTTCACCACGGGCACCCATTTGTGGACGCAGTCCTCATGCATGGAGAGGGAGCTCCTCCTGTGAGCGCCGCTCACCTAGACATCACCACTGAGGGACTGCAAACAGCAGTGCCTTTCTCCAGAAACACCGTTCATGTACTTCATGTGAAGAGCCCACCACGGGCACGTGAATCACGTAACAGAGCTGGTGGCTCCCAGCAAGTCCCACAGCCGTGGTGGCACTTTGCTAATTACGGCCTTCCCGGGCTGCGTGCGGGGAGAGCCGTGCGTGAGGCAGTCAGCTGCCGGGACGTCCCACCAGTGCTTTTGTGTGACCACTGCCATTCTGGTCGCCTCTCAGCTGTTGTCAGACATGGCACAGCACACGTTCGTGGTCTTTGGTGGACCAGCCTGCAACCACGATCCCCAGAGCCCTGCTCACAAACACCGCAGCGAGCGGTTGGGTTTACCCCAAGCTCAGCTGGTGCCGGTGCCCACCATGGGGCTGTGCCTGCTGGGATGTGCTAGCTGGTCCCTCTGCACCTCAGCCTGCCCTCCGAATGGCTGGCGTGTTTTACACAGCATGAACAAGCAAAATACAGTTGTAGTGGTTTTTCTCCTCTTTTTTTCTTTTTTTTTTTTTCTTCTTCTTTTTTTTTCAAAGTGCAGCTAGATAAAAGGCTACCGCCCAGAACAGATCGTATGCATTCCAATGACAACAAACAAAGTCTCAGTACTGCACATTTTAGTACTCCAACATGAGGTTTCGGTTTCTGAGCTAGAACCATTGGACTTGCTACTCACTGCTACATGGAGCAAAAAAGGCTGTGACATTTTTTTTTCTTTTTTTTTTTTTCTTTTTTTTCCCAGCTTTTATCATGAGGCATCAAGAATTACTGATAAATCAGACTCTGTGAACAAATGCTCCTTCAAAAAACTTTTACTAGATGATCTCTTATTTTGCCTATTTGTTAACTTGCAGCTTAAATGGCAATTTGAGACCAAAAGCATGCTGTAGTCCTATTCCATAGCATTCCTTATCTTTATTTAATTTTTCCTTCAATTACAAGGACAAATTTGACCCCTTTTATCTGTATTTTCCTATAAGAAATCCCCATGAAATCAAGGGCACTAGACAGCAAGATACTGCAAAATGGCAAGATAGGGCAGAATCTGTCCCTAATTATATGTTTCCCTCCTCACATCCCCTCTCCAGTGACAGCATGCTCACTGCCCAGAAACAATGTCCTGAAGTTAAAAAAGAAACCATTTTACAATAAGTGAAATGCAGGGAAACAATAGCCTAATTTACCAAATAAGAATAGTGAGATATCATCCCCGAAAGAGTAATCCAGATAAAAGAAGAGAGAGTGAAGAGATGATCAGGCGGTCATTCAGGCCTATCTGCTGATGCTGCCTGAGAGATTAAATCTGCCCTAACAAAACAGAGCGAGGGTCTGGAATAATGTTATCTTCCCTCTCCTCCCCTCCCGGCTCCCCCTGCCCTGCTGCATTTTTATCAAGTTCTGCTACCTCTGGAAGCACTGAAAACAAAAGGGAAGGGGGAAATGTGGAAAGTGAGAGGAAGGGACTTTACTTTTTCTTTCTTTTTTAGTTTAAAAAGAGGCATCCACCTCCTCACTTCTTATCTCACTTTCCTTTCAGGGCATTTTATGCTACATATTTGCAATAAAAATATCACACAAGGAAAAAGGTAAAGAAATACCAAGTAAAGTAGAGTCCAAGCGTCCATGGTGTTTTAGGTAAATGATATTTTTGGCTTTGTTTGCTTGTTGGCTTTTTTAACACAAGAAAAGCTGGTGTCAGGGAAGTGAAACATATTCTTAGATCAACTGAATGAAAGTATTTCCACCTTCAAAACTACAGGGAGGAGAGCTGCCTAGCAGAAAAATATCGTAACGATCTGTAGCAAAATGACGAGTGCCGAGCAGCGGGGAGAGGGATGAGTGAGCTCAAAGCTGCCCCTTGAAGTCGTTTTCACAATATTATAATTTACCAACATAAATGAGGAAAAACAAACCAAAACACAACAAAACAAAAACCACATAAAGGACAAATTAAGATGTATACCTGGCACAAAACGAAATTTGTTTCCAGATGCTTGCAAACTCTGTTCATGATTTAAGTAGTTCTGAGGTTATTTATGATAATGGTATGCGTGAGTCTAAATGACATCCTGTTCTGAAGAAAAGAGCTGACAGAAAAGTGCTTTGGGGCTGTCTACACCCTTTTTTGTCTTCAGGCCATAAAGGCAACCAATGTACAAGCTGTGGCAGAAGCGTAGCACTGGGGTAAGTGGGCCAGCAGTGTTAAATACAGTGTGGAAAGGTGCTTTTGCCACAGGAATTAGAGAACAGCTTTCTGTTCATGGGCTGGACAGATTTCCTGTGTCCTCGGACGGGACATTGTACCTCACTTTTTTTCTCTGTAGTGGAAGGAACATTTCTGTGCATGGCATGTAGTGCACAGTCCCCCAGTGTGCAAGGATTGTTGCTTTCAGGTTTGTAACCTGCTGCAGGAGTCCTCACATGGAAGGTGCTCGATCCAAAGTGGTGAGGCATCAATTTAAGACACTTCCTTCCCTCTGAAATTTCAGTTAACAGTTACTGGTATTGAAACCCAGTCCATACTGAGGGAGAAATTACAGTAGTGGAATACTGGAAATTTGCTGCTTGTTTTCATTCTAAGCTTCAAACAGCTTTAATTTACTGAAGATTTCTTCTGTCAGCTGCCCCACTCTGCTTTTCTTGTCTAGATTAGGTGTTTGGCAGGACAAAAATAGTGTTGCAGGTCTGTAAGGGTAGTTTATAAGTGTCAGTAGTTGCCCTTGAGTTTATTTAAGTTGAGATTAAAAAAAAAAGTATTAAGTCACTGTTTGTCCAGGGTGCTTAGAACACCGGATATGCAGGCACTATCTGATAGACTGCAAGCTGCCCAGATGTGTTAAATTAAAGTTATTCTTATTAAAAGATTTTTTAAAAAAAGAAAAAAGAAAAAAAAGAAAGGGTGGAAGTTTTCTCTTTGTAGTTTTAAAGAAACTTTACATTGCATGGTTGTACTCTTTTCTAGTTCCACTAAAAACAAATCTAAGTCCCCAAATTACAACACAAATATAAAGATTTCCTGTAGCAATTACTTGAACTGGAAGGGAAAGTTAAACTGATTCTGCCACATGTGAAGAACCAGACAAACGGTCATGATTCTTACTTTGAGTAGGTTGAGGAGGAAAGAGTTTATGCATTATTTAGACAGTTAGTAATGTTTTTGAAAGCTCCCAAGTCCCATCTTCAAAAATTAGGAGACTTAATATTTTTCTGTCAGTCAGTGAGTCATCCTGAGAGAGATGTAGAAACAAGGGACTGGTAAAGCTAGTTCGGTCCAAAGTTTATTCAATATTCGACCTCAAATTTTGGCTGGTGGTGGATACTTCAGAGGAAGCTGCAAGAGCCCCAACGAAAAACATTTGTCAGTTGATCATCATCATTAACCTATCTCCTGTTAGTTAGATTTACTGACAAAGCACAAAGATTTGCATCACTTCTACATTTGATAATACAAAAATGGTCTTATCTTTATTCCATATATATATTTCTTATTTTCTGATTCCATCCAGATCTTGCTTTTAATGGCATCTTATGACAGTGAGTTCCACAAGTTAATGACGCCTTGCACAGAAAATTCCTGAGATCTCTTTTCCATTTCCTCTTGCCTTGTTTATCTGTTACTCATACAAGTCATAAGGGTGGCCAAGAACTTCCTAATCTACCTTACATAATGCCCATTATATTTTACACATCTGTGTTATTCGTCTTGCCCTCTGATTATCCCCTCCTCCCCAAAGCAGCCATCGTTTGTTTCAAATACCGCTGTTATCTGCATCACTGACAGTTCATGTTGCTTTTCCCTGAGCCATTTTATTTCTGCTCTGTTGTTTTTGAGATCCCATTCCTGGCAGAGGCTTCCCACTGATCTCCGTGATGACCATGCTTATGTAAACCTTTCTCCCACTCCTGCCTCCCCTTTCCTATGCTATCCAATATTTAATTAGCTTCCTAAACTAGTGCTGCCCTTTGACCAGAGGGTTTCACTGTTATCCACAGTGATGTCCAGATTTCCATCCTGAGTCACTACGGCAAATGTAGAGGCAGATCAGCGAATGTGTTTTTCAGATCTTGTGTCTGCCGTGTAACATTTGCCAAGCTGTTACCCATTCCCGTGGCTGCCTTGGGCCTCTCTGAAATTCCTCCCAGTCTGTCAAGCATTTGGCCAAAGTAACCACTTGCACTGCCTCAGATGGATACTGCTCAGCTGCACTTATCCTTCCCTTCGCCCGACTGCAGGCAGCCTGGGCTTGCTCAATTCAGTTTAGGAAAGAAAGTGAACGAGAGCTGCAGAGCCTGGGCCATCTTTGTGTCAAAGGGCCAGGCTCTCATCTCCCGATTGCAGTCCTAGGTAAATGGA